CTGGATGAAATATGTCACAGAGGCCAGCCATTTACAGGACTGATATCAGAGCTATATTTCAAGGCCTGGGAGCAGCCTCTGCCCATTAGAGGGTGTTTGATGTATTTTAGGGCCACTTTACGTGCTGCTCGGTCTCAGAGAGCCTCTCTGACATGATAGCTGATAGAAGAAGACTCTTGGCCAGTGTGGCGAGGAGAGAAGCCATATTAAAGAAGATAAACATCTAAAGAGGGAATTTGGCCAAGCGCTGAATATCCAAGCTCCGAAAAATACTCAGATGCCATCGAGGGTTTGTCCTCCAAGATAAGTGGAGTCCAGGCGGTTTATGACAAATGTGCAGACAATAATCAAGTGGGGTGAAAAAAGTTTGAGACGTTTGATACAAACATTTTCAAACAAAAAAAAAAAACTTCAGCATTTCATTTTTGGTGTCCACAGAAATAAAAATTCATGAGCGGAAATAAACACAGTGACTCGTTCGGAGAGTTATTTATGTTATTTATGGTGGTTAAAGGTGGAGTTTGCATTAAAAAAAAAAAAAAAAACATTATACACCTTGTACCACCTGACAGTGAATATTAAAATGTTTTTGGGGGTGAGGGATCATGCCTCTTTGGCCTCATTTGATGCTTCCATTTTAATTATTATTTCCAAACTTATCATGGCATGCATAAAATGAACCAATCAGAGACTTTAGAGAGAGAGAGAGAGAGAGAGAGAGAGAGAGAGAGAGAGAGAGAGAGAGAGAGAGAGAGAGAGAGAGAGAGAGAGAGAGAGCGACCAAGGGATGCCTCAAACTTGTGCTCCGCTCACAGAGGGTTTATGGGGACACAGATGCTCTAGCAAACAAGACGATTGTAGTTTCTTGGCAGGTTATTTAACTCCGGTTAGAAACAACATTTTAAAAGAAGGAATTGGAAAGCTCTCTACCTCATGTCAAGGGATGTAACGGTCATGTTTAAGGCGTGGACGGCTGCAACCACCAGCGCCGAGGTCATCATTCACATCAGGTCATCATGTCAGTTGATAGCCTCTCATTAATTTTCATAGATTGTACATTGCTAAAAAACAAAAACATATATAACGTCAAACCGGTGCATTTCGTGTTTGCCAGCACTCCATCAAGAATAAGAAATGCTAGCACGTAAATGCTTTAGTGTAACGCCACGCATTAGTAAGATGGAGGGGGGGGGTTCTTTAAGCAGAGATGCAAAGCAGGAGGGAGGAGTGAAGTGTGGCTACATTCAAATCTTTCTAACTGCTTCGAGACTACTTGTACATACAGAAGCTTTAAGTCATAGCATAGCAGTACATTTACCTCACTTCAGTACAGCCAGAGTGGAATCAGTTTCCACTCAGTGATGGTGTTATATGTTTGGAATGTGAGAGGAAATGGTTGTCCGTCTCGAAAGGTGCCTTGCGACTGACTGGCGACCAATCCAGAGTGTATTGTAGTCAGCTAGGCTAGGCTCCGGCTTCCTGCAACATGGGAGAGGGTGTGCATTGCATCATCCTTCCTCACATTTTGGAAACCTAATTGAGAAGAACAGAAATGCCATTAAGACTTTTTCAATCAAAACGAAAGTCATATTATCTTTATAGAGCATAATGTCAAAATCAAGGCCCCCGGGCCAGATGCGGCTCGCCACATCATTTTATGTGCCCCGTGAAAGTAAATCAGGAACTTGGAAGATCCTTGCTAAAATCTGTACCGAAATGTCAAATTGTCACGTGTAATAAATCCATCCATCCATCCATTTTCTAATCCGCTTATCTTCACGAGGGTCGCAGGCATGCTGGAGTCTATCCCAGCTATCTTCGGGCACTAGGCGGTGGACACCCTGAACCGGTTGCCAGATGCAACCACCAGCGCCGAGGTCATCATTCACATCAGGTCATCATGTCAGTTGATAGCCTCTCATTAATTTTCATAGATTGTACATTGCTAAAAAACAAAAACATATATAACGTCAAACCGGTGCATTTCGTGTTTGCCAGCACTCCATCAAGAATAAGAAATGCTAGCACGTAAATGCTTTAGTGTAACGCCACGCATTAGTAAGATGGAGGGGGGGGGTTCTTTAAGCAGAGATGCAAAGCAGGAGGGAGGAGTGAAGTGTGGCTACATTCAAATCTTTCTAACTGCTTCGAGACTACTTGTACATACAGAAGCTTTAAGTCATAGCATAGCAGTACATTTACCTCACTTCAGTACAGCCAGAGTGGAATCAGTTTCCACTCAGTGATGGTGTTATATGTTTGGAATGTGAGAGGAAATGGTTGTCCGTCTCGAAAGGTGCCTTGCGACTGACTGGCGACCAATCCAGAGTGTATTGTAGTCAGCTAGGCTAGGCTCCGGCTTCCTGCAACATGGGAGAGGGTGTGCATTGCATCATCCTTCCTCACATTTTGGAAACCTAATTGAGAAGAACAGAAATGCCATTAAGACTTTTTCAATCAAAACGAAAGTCATATTATCTTTATAGAGCATAATGTCAAAATCAAGGCCCCCGGGCCAGATGCGGCTCGCCACATCATTTTATGTGCCCCGTGAAAGTAAATCAGGAACTTGGAAGATCCTTGCTAAAATCTGTACCGAAATGTCAAATTGTCACGTGTAATAAATCCATCCATCCATCCATTTTCTAATCCGCTTATCTTCACGAGGGTCGCGGGAGTAACGGAGCCGATCCCAGCCTTCATCGGACAGTAGTCGGGGTACAACCTGAACCAGTTGCCATCCAATCATAGGGCTGTGTAATGACGAACGCTGAGATTTTTGTAATAATTTTCTTACCCTCTTTACACTCACTTGAACAATAATTGAATAAACTATTGTAGTTTACCTGATTAGGAAGCCATTAGTTTGTTGCTTGCAAGTAATAATGCAATGACACGATTAAACATTTTGTGGTTTCCCGGTCATAACGACCCTCAGAGGAAAGACGTAACTCCAAAGTGGCCTGCGGCAGAAATGAGTTTGACACCCCTGTTGGAGAGGTATAGCTTTTCAAACAACTCTACACAGTGCAAAAGGTCATCCTTTTACCATTTTAGTGCTGTACTTTGTCCGTCCTTAGAGTTACTTAGATGACAAATAGCATTCGGTGAGTATGATTTTGCACACATTGTACCAAAAGTAACATCACATAAGCTTTCTCAGATTTAAAAAAAATATATAAATAAATAATGATGGGATTTGCTCATTAGCCTGAGCCAGAGTCTAAAGGTTCATCTGTGATCGGCGGCCAGATGGAGTGAAGCAGGTTGGCTTTTTTTCGGATGAAGAACTTCATTGAAAGGTGTCTCAAAATCAGCGGGTTGGCACGTGAGCTACATCTGACACGCTAGGTGAGGATGGATGGATTTCACACGCCATTATCATAATAGAGACAATTACAACAAAACGGTGCTCATGTCATGTCATAGTTTGAGATGAGCTGTGAAAATGTATTTATCTTCTGCGATAAGACGCCAAGTAGCATAGTTCTTGAAGAGAATTAGCGTCGGTGTGTTGAGGTTGATTATCTCAGTGACTAATACTCTGTCTCTTGGTGGTGCGCGAGGGCCCAGTGAGGACCGCCTTTAATGAAGCCTGAGCAGGTGCTGAAAACGCACTGACATCGGCAGGGGATGGAGGGGGCGGGGGGGTGTTGAGGGTAGTGCATGGACAAGAATTTCTGATGAATTTCAATTACTGAGCTAATAAAGCTAATGAGGTAAATGAGCAGCCAGAACACATTTACCAGCTAGCCCGAGACATAACCTGAGATGCTTGACATGTGTTGTGTGTGGATGTGGAATCACATCATAACCAAAATGTTACCTTTCAAAGTCGGCCATCAATATTAGCATGTTTTTGGTGAACGTTAATGCTCATTCGTGTTTTTCCCTATTAGGTGTGTCTGTTGTCTGAAAGTTAAGTCGTTGTGCCCTCTGGCGGGGAGCTTGTGAAACACACAGATGCAGTTTGCGCCATTCTTGCACGTGCACCGCCATCTGCTGGCTTTCAGGTGCAAAACAGTTGCTTTGGTCAAAGGGACTCTTTTACACTGTAAATCGCGATCGACAGCCAAGTCGATGGCGAGGGGGGAAAGGAAAAACAAACAAACAAACAAACAAACAGTCTCTGTGCATGTTAGTAATATACTTTTTGTACTGCAACCTAATCATCCTATCGGTCTCACTTTCACAAAAAGTATTTAAAAATAAAATAAAATAAAGCAGATCAACTTTAACTTACGGTGGTGTGTGACTTGGGGTCACCAGAATTTGTTAGCGCTCAGCAGTCTGCGATTGCAGCTTACGATCAGAGCTGTTGCGCTATATCTTTTATTTTTATTGTCATTCATAGTGTGTTTCATCTGCATTTTACCGATGGATCGTTCATCTTAGGGGCCTTTATGGCTGTTGTTCATCATGGGACGCGTGTGCGGTAACAGGTCGATCGCGGGAGGTTGGTTGATCGAAAAGTAGATCTTAGGTCAAAAAAGTTTGGGTACCCCTGTTTTAAAGGATCCAGTCGATATGTGGTCGATATCTGGGATGCCCAAGCCGGGTCCTCAAGATCCGGTTTTAGATCCATGCCTTTACTTATGCCTCAGAGGGTGTGTTCGCTGGTCAACAATAGACCGTCCTACACAGCAAGCAGTCATTGACTCATCTTGTGGCCTAACAGTTTATAGTGCCACTCTTCCCATTGAATGAGGCAATCTTTTGTGTGGAGAGATGGAAAGACATTGTTATAAGCAGACAAAAGGTGATGCCTCAAGCCTCATCCCCTGTCTTAGAGTCAGACATAAAAGGTTTCTTTCAAACCAGCGGTGTTCAGAATCTGTTGCCGAATGCCCCTTCTTCTGGATGCAAACAAACTGACGATCTTGCACCCGAAGAAGCTGCCCACTGATGTTATGACATGCATCTTGTGCAGCGGCTGCTTAGTCTCTCCAAAGTAGATGTCTTATTATGGAATTATGAACAGTTCAAAATAACAGTCAGAGTTTGAACAACTCTTTAATTTCATGCAAGAAAGAGAAACAAGGTCAGGAAAAGCCTATTAGAACAGCAGAAATCTATTAGTGTTATTCAGAGGCAATTAAAATGTAGAAAGGCATGCGGTGGCTCCCATTTAACTATGAGTTTGAATGTGGTTAGTTATTCTGGATATATTCCCAATTAGAAGAGCATGCACAGGCCTTATTTCAGATGTTTTTCTTTACATGCCCTCTCTAAATTTATGTATTTTTTTCAATTGAGTTGTACATGTTAAATGTACATGGTTACACAAAAATACTACTTTATTACTGAAATACGGTTTAGTTTAGCAGAGTGCACTACATTCAACTGAACACTTTTTGCAGACTAAAAGCGGATAGGGGCGACAGGTCAGTTTTCTTTTTAAGTGAGCTGATTAATGGTGCTTATCACTCCAGAGGACTAATTCAAGCATGCACAATCATACAACTCAAACAATTGTCGAAAAGTATCTTGCCATCTTTTTCAGTGCTACACTTGCTCCTGATAAGGTTCAGTATGTCAGCTCTTATTTGTGGCGTGAACGACTGGTAAAAATCATCCGTTTCGGTAAGGTAACAAAGCAGACGCTGTCCGGTCTCGCTGTTTGGATCAAAGCACTCGGTGATGTCAAAGGTGGTGGGAATGGAATACTCTTCGTATTTCAGACCCAGAGTCTTCAGGGAGGCCAGGACATCTTCGGATGAGCGATACCGAGGGGTCTCCTCGTCCTCCAGCTCCTCTGAAGTCCTCCACAGGGTGTCCCAGCTATGACCGGCTGTATCAACGTAGTCATTTGAATTAAAATTCAAAGTTACAGCATCAGAAGAAGCATTTTTCAAAGAACTCTTTTATTTTTCTGTCCAAGCAACAAGCAGCTGTGCATTAAGAATGTAGTTGATCTATGCTGATTCATCTGCTTGTGAGCTAAAATGGTGTCTCGTTTTTTAATTTTCTTTATTTTATTATTATTTTTTTAATTTTGAAGGCTGTGTATTTTTTTGTCTGTGTGGCGGAGGTACTGGAAGCAATGACACTGACAATTAAAATAAATATGAACACCACAAGAGGTGACACATGACAGTTACTCGGGGCCTTACTTTTTTCTATTATGATCACAAGGCTGCCGTTCTTCTTGAGAATGCTGTGATAGAATTTGATACTTTCTGTCAGGTCATCAACGAAGTAAATCATCTGTCAAGTAGAGGATTGAGAGGAATACAGTATTCACTTCACAAAACAACAGTTAAAATTTGAATTGCTGTTGGGATATGGTGTAATAATTGTGGTGAAATTGTTCGAGGAAAAATGTACCAAAAATTGTGGGCTGAACTAACCGTAAACTATTTTTACGTTACAAGAAGTAAAATACTGTACGTCTCTTGAGCAAAATCGTTTGCCTCATTCGCTATTTCCTGCTTCCTCCTCTTGGAAGCTAAACTCTCTTGAGTGCTCCAAATAAATCCAAGCCGCTAAAAAAACATTTCTCTTTTGCTAAATCCTGCATGCAACAAACGTCATTGAAATTTTGTAATAAATGAACTGATTGGCTTCCCATTTTTTGCCTTTAAAGATAAATATCAAATCGTAATTGAAAAAAAACAGCAAATTAAGTTGATTAAAAAAAGACAAATTCCCATCATGAATACATAGATACAGACGAACAGAAAGACAGACAGACTGATAGGTAATACCTGAATCAGGTGAATGAAGTCATATTTCTTCACGTCTTTGATTTGCTTTCTGTAATCCTCACTTGACATAACATGCCAAGTGAATGGAGTCTTCTGAAGGTTTTCAGTCTTTGCTACCAATGCTGAAAATATAATACAGTAAGAATCCAACCATCATAAAAAAAATCACTGTTTATTTGAACAGGTGATTGGACAGGGGAAAAGGAAATATGGACAAAATGTTTCCTGTGATGCGATTGAAGGTTGAATGTTTTCAGTGTCAACATGGGCACTGATTCAAAACACACATCGCGGCTCCATTCAAATGTTGTGTGGACTCATATTAACTATTTAGAAGAAACTTGACGAGGTGCACAAGAAAAAAAAAAATGTACAACTTCCTACATCTAAAGCCTCACATTGTGTTGCCCGTACCTTTGAAGTTGGCAAGCAGTTCAACGCTTCCATCGACAATGTCGACGGTGATTGGAAGAGTGGGAAAGATGGACTGTAAGAGAGACAGGATCTGGACATCCACCTCGCCTGCGCCCAGTCAAGAAATAAGCTCCTTAAAGTGAGCTTGCATACAGGATATTAAAAGTAAATGAGGTTACATTTATGAAGCATCTAGTCTGAATAATTTGGAATAGCACATGGATTCTGTTCATTGAATATATAAAAAAATACAATAAAAAAAGAATGTGACGACACTGTGAAATGCTGTTAGAATTGTGTAGTCCTCATTTGGTTCCCCGGCTAAACTTGAGCTGACTCTGGGCGAGAGGCGTCGCGTATGCTAAACTGGTCGCCATCCAATTGCAGTCATCACATTTACAGTCAGGAAAAAGTGAACAGGTGCTGTATATCACTCGTCACATACCTCCACCACTTCCCACACCGAGAACAGCCAGCTCGTTTTTATCTGCTACCATTCTGCACCAAGACACAGAAAAAAAAAAAAAAATCATACACTGTATCAAGTTACGGATACAGTGTATCAAAGAGAATGACACCATTTTGTCACAACTGATCAATCAAATGAACAGTGGAATGTCAGTCAGGTTTTAAAATTCAGTAAATGATTTTACTGCTCATCAAGCAGGTCATTTTGGTGTAATAAATACATGTAGGCAGTATTTTTTTCATGTGCAATATATACTTTAGTTATTGAAATTCAGAGATCTTCGAGACTGAATTTTTTAAACAGTAGATGTGTGGATAATCGATATCTAGGAGAATCAATGTTTGACCTGTTCATTTCATCATGTATGAAAGCCGTTTTGGTACCTCTTGAACTCCCCTGGGAGGTGCTCCTCGAGAAAACGGACAACAGCTGTGTGCTCGTCCGAATTTTGCAGATAGAACTGAAAAACTCGGGCAGCACTGCCCTCATAGATGGTTGACTTGGTCTTTGCTGCCATAATTCTGAAATGCATTAAGATAACAGCATGGCTGTACAGCATCAGAACAATCTTGTAATTCAAAATCTTATTGCATTGATCACTCCTTTACCTTCCCGCTCCTCTGTGTCGAATACCAGTTAGGTCAGTCGTCTCAGAAGAAAACTAATCATTTTGGAATAATTCAAATAGGCAATTTCAAAATAAAATCCAGCATTTTCATAATCATACATCCATCCAATTCATGCATTCATTTGGTGATTCGCTTATCCTCACAAGGGTTGCGGGATTCCGTAGTCATGTTTTCAACATTAAATTAAGGCTAAAATATGTCATTACATCATATATTCCCTTTTAATGTTTACGGTTGAATTATATTAAATAAAAGCAGACAGTAAAACAAATACACACGAAACACGCCGACCAGGTTTTACCGGAACCCTGAAAAAAAAAAAAAAAACTTATCAGGCTTCCGGAACCAAGTTAAAACTGTGTTACAATGGTAACGGCACATTGAATAGTATGCATAGGCGGGTACATTGAATAATACACTATGCATATGCCCTTACTGTGTACATAGCGCATAATTGTAAACCAGAGGGGACACACACACACACACACACACACACACACACACACACACACACACACAGAAATCTGACATTATGCCGTCAAACCATATGCCAGTTGTAGACTTGTTACACACCGTTACACAGTGAAGAAAAGATACATTGTCCAATACCTCCCACAACTGTAATCTTCCTTTAACGGAAAGAATCTTAAGTGAAGACATGAAACTCTTGCCTTGACAACACTTTCAATTTAGAACCTGGTAACTTGATGATTATTATGACGATTCGTTTTGGTCAGGGGTCGGTAACCCAAAATGTTGAAAGAGTGGGAGCAAAAAAACAAAAAAAAACAAACAAAAAACAAATATATCTGGAGCCGCAAAAAAATAAAAACCTTTTCGAAGCCTTATAATGAAGGCAACACATGCTATATTAACTATATTAGCCTACTATCAAAATGACTAAGTTGGCTAAAAATACACAATGAGCCTTCATGTTTAAACGTTTTTGTTTTCCCTCCCGACAGTGGATCTGGAGAGCAGGGGTGTCCAACCTTTTTGCCCGAAGATCTACGTCCGAAGAACAACCAACCTCCCGCGATCGACCCGTTACCGCACGCACGCGCATACTCGCACACTTAGACACGCATGCCATAAAGAGCAACGGCCAGAACGGCCGCTAAAATGAACGAGGCATGGGACGCACTTTTGCGGCTTGTTAACTATAGTACTCGTGAGCTACGCGTAGCTCACGAGTACTATTTAAAAATGCTTCTCTCGGCTCTCCAGATTACCATTCTTTGCCAGTACCCTCGGTAAATTGTACCTGAAGCGCTGTTTTTTTTAATTTTATTTTTATTTTATTATTATTTTTTTACAGCAGCCACCTGATTGACATCCCGCCCTGCTAATAGAGACACTGAAAAAAAACGACGAGTAACATTTACTTAAATAATTCTCGCAAATATTTGCACTCACTTTAAGTAAGTAAATGTTATTGCTCATATTTCAAGTATGTCCTACTCATCATAGTAACATTTACAAGAAACTAAAGATTATATGGAGGTAAATATTAAGTAACTCTTACTCAATTCAATTATTAAGTGTCACACTATAATGAAGTAAAATGTAATAATTGCAATTGGGTTTCATACATTAAATAATTAAGTAAAACTTAAAAACACGAAATGATTACCAATAGGAAGCAAAAAAGTAATTGAAACTTAATTATACAGAACTCTTAACTGCATAAATCTAAGTATTTGCTATTAAATGTGTTTAAATGAATGTTACACCAAATATTAACTTTTCCAATGGAATGTTTTATTCTCAATATCCGTGGCATACATAAATATGGCATCTATATAGAAATAAAATAAGTCACAAACATGGAGGCTGGGTATCTTGTAAATATGACATAATTATCTTGGAAAGAGACATCGACTGGATCCTCTCCCACAGCCTCTTGGACCACCAGGATTTTGAGGGAATCCTCAACTCCATTACTGCAGTTTTCCTGCCTCATGCAATTAACAAGAAAAACAAATAGAACCGTTTCAATCGTTTGAACTGGCTGACATCTTTCATCAATAGCCCACAATCATAGACTAGTGTCAAATAAGCATGTTTACCATGTTAAATTATACAATGCATCTGGTCAGTTCACAGACTATTCCAATGTAATAGTAATGTCCATATTCAATACAAGTCCTAGTCATCGGTTCATTTAATATATAGTATAGGCTCTGCGCATGTATGCATTTCAACTCCCCTACTTTCTGAGTTGTGGGGTTGAATGTTTCCTGTCTAGTAATATTAGATGAATTCATTCATCTCATGTGCGACACACCTTTGGAACACCCATGGCACCCCTGATAAATACAAACGAGCTTCTTGCCTGATTCGGAAATGCCTGAAATACAGTATATTTAAAATCCTCCAGGCTGTGAAGCAAACGTTGTGTATACAGTACAAGTGCTTTTGTCACACCCTCTAAAAACACACTGGCCAGTTTCTTGCTTTACAAGATGAGTCACGAGGTATTCAAAATACTGCTTCTCTGAATGAAAACAACACAAGTTACAAATAAGGCACGAAAAAGAAACGGTTTGTTCTAAGGGCACACTTTGGGGATGATCTCAAAACAGATGAGAGTGAAGTGCACTCCAAACCTTAATGGAACAAGGACAATGTGAGTACAAGAAGGGTAGTGACTGGCATTGACTGGTGTGAAAATATTTCAATTTATAATGTTTAAAGAGCTCAAAACAAGATTAAGTCCTAAAATTGCAACGCTTGCATGGCCATGTCACAGCATAGTTCAAACCAGCCAATCTTCATCTAGAGGCCAAGCCGTAAAAACAAAATTGGTGGAAATCATGTTTTATACTCACCAAAACTGATTAGACACAAAGAAACCTGTAAGAAGAGAGAATAATATTAAAACAATGGCCTGTGTTTGAGTGGAGGGTTGTTATGTATTATTAATACTGTTATGCACTTACCAAAAGACTAACTGCAATACATTGACCAAACCTGAAAGAAAATACACAAAATGTATCATATTAAACAACATTAACTAATCATATTGGCTTATAACTTGATTTAAGATAGGGCTCTGTTTTATCAACGAATTCCATTTTTCCTACACTACATCAAGATATATTGAGAAACGATTATGCTCGATATTAAAACAGGTTGCCTCAGATAACGTTAGCTAATTCTGCTCAGACACATCGAAATAATTGTTAGCCATACGATTAGCAAACCCATTGTTTCCTTGTGGTCACACCTGCTCTTCCTAAAAACTCCTTGGGACACACCAAACACTTCATTGATAGCCCAACAGTATAACAAACAAATTAATATCAGTTTAGCTGATTCGTGGTAAGTTAACATTAGCAAGCGTTACTTGAGGCAATGGCGGCAAAATGCCATGCTATCCATTTAGCTAAATAACACAGTCAACATGAAGACATATTACCAAAACAATACACATCACATTTTTAAGATATATTTAGACAGGATTATGTGCGATGGTTAAGATGGAAAACAGATTGCCTCAGGTAACGTTAACTAATGCTGTCCAGACACATCTCGCGTGTTGGTCAATGAGCATGCGCACACAAACTGATTCCATTTAAGTAAATTATAGTTTGAATTTGTTTGTTTTATGCATCATCTCTATTTAATATAATAATAATTGTGTAAATATTATGAGTGAATTGCAAGTAAATGTTACTCTTATATTGTGGTTTATTCATTGTAGGAAAACATTGTGTAAAATTTGCACAATTATTTTAAGTTTTCATCAAAACCAAATACTTATACAGTATGTAGATATGATTAACATTTAGTAGATATAATTTACTAGAGCAAAAAGTTCATTTTTACAGTGTACGTGTATCACAGGCTATGACGCAAATCTTCGCTCACAGAAATGTTGAAATGTAATATTTATTCTCCAGAGTTTTACAGCACTGGGAAACGTTAAAAATGTTTGTGTCATGTTTACAGAAACCATATTAAAATATATTTCCCTCCCCCATCTTTTTTCATTTTCAAACATTGTTGAAAAATCTCCAGGGAGCCACTAGGGCGGTGCTAAAGAGCTGCATGAGGATTAAGAGCTCTTGAGCCGCGGGTAGCCGGCCACCAGTTATGGTTGTTGTAACATTGATTGACTTATATTTACTTTTATATATATATATATCAATATTGTTGCTTTTGTAAATGAAATTGTGCCATCAAGGTGTAAACCCCAAGGTCAAATTTTGAAACAAGAAATACTTGTGCCTTCAAGGAGTATTTTGTAAAAACAATGGAAGTTCCCCAAGTGATATTTCACAGTCACACACAGTCCCACCTAATCATACCGCCCTCAAGATGGTGCCAATAGCTCAGAGTGAATACAGTACTGTAATGCAGTCAGTTCATCCTATGTAATGCCTGTATAAAGGCACGTAACGCCATTGAACTTCAAGGATTCATCCTTTAAAGTGGAGAACCCAAAAATTTGTGGTAACCTGTGATAACGTATTGTTTTTGCCGACTGACATGAGGTTTTGTTGCCAGTCACACACAGACACCAAATAGTCATTATTCAATACCTTTAATTAAATAAACATTTCGCAACTTTGTAAACATGCTTGCTGTTAATCCAGTTAGTCATTGCATTTATTTGCCTAGATTGAAATACAATTAGTCAACATTGACAAGCTTTAATTAACAGTCCAACCGATCAAAGTCAAAAAGTCGACATTTTATCTAGTGACACAACATGACGAGAACAGGCTGATTCCAACCCTGAAACGCAGCACTGTAAGGCAGACGTGCTTAACACAATGAATGCTACAGTTGTCATACAACTTGCAATTTGATCAACATTTTTGAGGCATCTGCATAGCGCCCAAGGCTTTGCTGCTTCTTTAGCCTTTTCATGCATGCGGCACAAGAGGGAGCGATACTAGCAATGGCAAAAAAAAAAAAAAAAAGGGGGTTGGAGGGGTAAATGTGTTGATAATCCTAGAACCAAAACTGGAACACTGCGTCCATCACTCAAAAGTCACGATGATGACTTTTTTTTTTTTTTACTATTTTTGTATGTGTATGACAGATAAGATGTAAATGTGACTCAAATTAGTTATTACATATGCAGTCGATAAATGTTATATGATAGCACTTTGACCCTGGATTGGATACATTCTATTTTCATTATTTCCAAAAGAGAACATTTCATTATAGGTGGAGCAAATCACAGATTGACAAAATGGATTGTGCTCCACTCTAAATGACCTGATAAACAGTTTAGAGAGGATTACAATTTCTATACCTTTCGCACAAAATTATGCACAATTAATATTAAACATGATGAAAAGGAACTTAAGTGGCTCAGAGCTCAAATCACTTCACCTACCTGGAATTTAAAATGTATTTTTGCTTTCCACGTGTGTATTGAGTTCCAATTAACTTTTATCTGGGTGAATCAACGACAACAACCTCTAGATTGTTATTGAAGACAACTTTTCCGTCTGCTTCCCGAGAACAAGCTGGGTCTCGCAGTAACTTCAGGACATCCGCTTTGAGTTGCGGCGAGGCCGTTTGGCTGAAGTGATCCACCTCGGTGAGGAAGTCAAGCAGCAGCTCTCCGCTCTCGTCACCCTCTGTGAAACACTCGGTGATATCCATTTGAGAAGGCAGCACGTAGCTCTTGTATTGCACTCCCCCGGCGTCCAGGATGCTTTTGACGTCAGCTGTGGTCGTACACTGAGCTATTTCGCAGGCACAGATCTGACCCCTGAAGGTCTGCCACAACTTTCCCCAACCACTCTCACCTGAAAACAGACCACAGTGAAGACCAGACAATGTCTTTATCTCTACTCTCATATTCACTTTTTGATGTCCGACACAATGTTTTGTAGTCTACACTCAAAATAAAAATTTACTTGAGTGGGAGAGGAGTGTGAAAATCTCCCTGTGTTTCAATCATTGAAGTAAAAAAAGTGAAACATAATTCACTACAAACAAACAAGTGTCATTCTGGATTTTATTTAGATAATTTGGATTGATATACCGTATTTTTCGGATTATACGTTGCTCCGGATTATAAATCGCACCAACCAAAAAATGCATAATTAAGAAGGAAAAAACATATATAAGTTGCATTTTGGGGGGAAATTTATTTGATAAAATCCAACACCAAAAACATACATGTCATCTTGAAAGGCAATTTAAAATAAAAATAAAATGGAGAACAACAGGCTGAATAAGTGTACGGTATACTAACGTTACATGACTGACATGCCTGATAATGTCAGTAACGACGTAACATATTAAGAGTTATTCAGATAACTCTAGAGAACATGCTAACAAGTTTACCAAACTATCAGTTTCACTCCAAATCACTAAATCCAATGAAATCTTCATCCTCAGTGTCACTTTTAAACAACTCCCCCAACTCAGGAGGTAGATGATGCGCCTTCTTCCTCTTCTACGTCGCTTACGTCAGACTTATCGTCAATTTATCAACACAGGCCGAGAGCGCCCTCTTGTGGTTTAATGTGAAAACAACGTGAAATGACATAATCATGTGTTAATAATTTCACACAAGTCGCTCCAGAGTATAAATTGCACACTATGAAAAAAAACTGCGACTTATAGTCCGGAAAATACGGTAGTTTAAAGCTAGCAAAACCCCAAAGTTCAACCATCTCCAATCTAAGTCAGCATATAGGTGCTGTTTTAAAAAAAAAAAAAAAAAAAAATCAATGAATAGCTACGTCTATTTCCCACCCTAATATTAGAAATGAATGTAGAAATACGCTGAGAGATGAGAAAAATGATCCCTTACCAGACACCAGAATAATGAGAAGCTTCCCATTCGGGGCAAGGAGACTCCGGAAGAATGTGATGGTCGCTTCGACATCGTTGACATAATAGAGCATCTGTGAATTGTACCACAGATCAATGAGCTTCAGATTTGGATTTATGGAATGCTTAATTAAAACATAACATCAAACAAACAGATTTTCTAATGGAATAATAGATACCAAATGATGAAAGTGTGCTTTAGATTGTCTGCGGCACTCACCTGAATCATGTGAATGAAGTCAATCTTCTTTGTTATTTCCTTCAACTTCCATTGCTTCTCAAACTCGATGGCAGTCATCTTGTTCCACTTAAATATGATGTAATCCAAATCAGACTTCTGCGACAGCAACACTGCATCAGCAAATGCAAAATGTACAGTTAAGAAAAACAATATTTTGACTTTTCACTTTTCTTATTTTATTTTTTGTTTTTATATCACAAAAAACATTTGAAAAGGGGTGTGTAAACTTTTCATTTGTAAGGAATGGAAATCGACAGGACATTTTCCACCCCTTTGTAAATCCTATTGATAGAATTTTGTGTGCTCCGATTTGCATATGAATTCGAGTTACTCCACCACTGTAAGAACATAGCTCCATTGTAAGCCGAGGACCCTGTGTAAAGTTGAATAGCAACATGGGGTTAGCGGAAAGCGCAGCTACCTTTGTAGCAATGAAGCTGCTGGCTGCTCGGTTCTACAACCTCGTAGTCCACCATCGCCCCAGGGTGCTTCTGATGGAGCTCGGAGAACATCTCGAGATCAATGCGACCTACAAGCACCAGCACAGTTTCATTTTCAAACACACACACACACACACACACACACACACACACACACACACACACAGTACATATCTGATAAATTGTAATCCAACAGATATTTTTTCTACACAGAAACAAAACCATTGAAGAATTCATAACAAAACGATGGAATTAAGTAACAGCAGGGAGACAAATGAAAATATGAAACGTTCAATATTTCAAATCGGGTATCCATGGTATCCATACGCGCATTGTACATTGTCTTTTGCCAACCTAGAAACAACAACACTATTTCTAAAAAATCAGTTACAATGTTCAAAATCGCAAAGTGTGTATCCTGCTTGAGAATGAAAAACGCTCTGTTGACATGATTTTCAGGTCACTTAACTTTGATTTGTCCATTAGAGTGTGTAACATCACCACAACGGGCTGAGAGTAAATAGTTCAGGTAAATGAAAAAGACTGCCTTTGACATCAATACAAAGTAGCAGCAGCACTTGAGAACTTGGAAGTTGTGCTCACAGTGGTGAGCACCGAGGAGTAAATGAATGACCTGATGCGGTCAGATTGTCTGTGAATAAGGTTAAAGATTTTAATGACAACAAATCAGATAAATACAAACTCTTGGGAGTGATCTCTCTTTTTTATTGCTGGTAGAGCAATTAAGGACACAACAGTGTAGTTACTGATACAAGAATGTGTCCTCACCTTAAGTGACCGCTGCAGAAGTTACTCAGTTATATAGTGTGTCATTAAATGTGAGGTTGGACTGACTATAATAAAGCTATGCTTTTAAAGCGGTCTCTTACCATCACCACTTCCAACTCCAATAACATTCAGATGGGGCTTGCCGTTTCCGATGCTGTGGAGACAGAATAAATTAATAAAATGAAATTGTCAGACTTGCCAAAAATCGGGCACACTCTTTGACCCTTTTTGTATCCCACCAAGCATGTACGAACTCATCATAAAAATGCCGTATGGTAAGATTAATTATTTCTGTCACGTAGAATATCCTTCTGCGTCATTCATCACAGACTAACATTTCAAGAACATTTAAATACTGCACTTTCTATTTAATGATCTATGACAAAGGGTATTCTGAGCTAATCCAATGCAACTGTCTCTCAAGCACATGGGTTTAAACAAGTGCCACGTGTGAAATCAACCTTCCCTCATCTTAAAGCCATGTTCTTGACAATGGAGCTAATCTGCTAAAAACAAACATATCATAAAATAAACTTTATGACCACTGTTACATGGAGTACAATTGGTCTTGGTCAAGCCTTTCACCATTGAAGCTTTCGGCCAATTGTGACAGTATTATTACAAATGCAAACAAGCGTGTGAGGTGGATTACCTGGCCAAAATGTCCGGCAGGATATTGTGTATAAAGTCCTTCATACACTGATGTTCAGAGGAGCGCTCCAGAAAAAGTTGGAAGGCCTTGTGGTACCGATTATCATCGTAAACGAGACTCCTCAGTGGAGATGCCATGACACGACGTCTGGCAAAACAATAGAAAACACAATCAGAAACACCTCGGCACAATATTCGTGACACCTACAAAAGACTCTAGTAACCATTTTGCCATTATTAGAGTATATCCATATACTTTATAACAATCTACATACAGGGGATGCAAAAAGTCTACACACTGCAGTTTTCAAGGCGGGTTTTTGAAAAAAATGTAGGACAGTCTACCTTCATAAGAAAAGGCTTTCATCTTGCCAACCTACCAGATTTCATTTACGTTAATTGAATGGATTGAATTATACTTACTTAAAATAGAGTTTGTATTCAGATTTATTTTAAATTTAGTCTGTAAATATGCAGTTAATATATACAGTACCTATATTAAACAACATGTGGAAGTAGTATCAAGAGGTTTAACAATACTGCATCCGTGTGAGGATAGTTAAAAAAAAAAAGAAAAAAGATCACAGATTTTCACATTTTTCCCTATGTATAGGGGTGGCCACGGAGGTGGCCACAGAGTGACCAGAGTCAGACAAGCTGTAGCTCCGCCCCTGGTCTAACCCTACAGGTAAAGGCGATTTGGGGACATTATTGTGATTCTGGCTATTGACACACGGTCTACAAGAACAGTATGAACTAATGTTGAGTATCACCTCTCTGACAGTGACAATCTTTAGCTGGATTATTGTTTTGATAATGAATAGTTATTGTATTAGATGTTTGTATTGTGCAATATCTATACGGTTATAGGTTGGGTTATACAACAGTTTTTATGTAATTTTTTTAGAATGCAAAATTCTCAATATTTTCCCTTTGACACAGCGTTTACAATAATTATTCTGGAATTACGTTTGTATTATTACATAATTATGATTCGCTGGATTTAAGAGTGGTAATGCAAAACTCACGGTTTCTTAATGACGTCACTATTTCCTGCTTTCGAACGAATATTCACGCTGCGATCGCGTTCAGTTTGCTTGATCAATCCAGGCTATTCGTGGTGCATTTCCCGTGTGTTGAAGCATTGGTAGTAGACCGATTGCAATGCAATGTGCGGAAGTAGAACGAGAAAGAGGACGACGAGGCAAAGCACCCGTGGACAACGTGCCGGGAGGTGAAATACAGGTGCCATGCATATTGTGCATAGCACATTTCTGTTTACTTACACGCACCAATCGTGTTCAAAAAAGGGCAAATATTAGTGCACTTACTGTGTGGGGCTGTGCGTGCAGATTTGCGCAGTCCAGGCGGTGATTGTGCACTGACTGTAGCTAGTGGGGGGGGAAAAAAAATGTTCCGGTAGCCCTGTCACGCCTCAGGTTTTGCGGTAGGGGGCGCCATAGCTCCCGTTGGAAAACCAACAGTGGGCAGATTTTCAAAAAATAGGCAGATAACTCAAGATTTACTTGCCTGTTTGATTTCACATTTGGTGGGTTCTGAAAATTATTTTGTTTAAATTTGAATCCTTTGATATCCGCAAACTATATAGATCTTCTGGTGCCCGAGTAGCATTGGATACTGTATTGCTTGACTCACTGCTTCATCACTGTTTACTCGTGCAAACTGTAACAAGACCATAAAACATCCCAGTGCTCATTAATACAAATGCATTCCTCTGACATGTTTAAAAGCAAAACATCATGAAGTAGATATACACAAATGAGCTGTAGGAATTACATATGAAGACAAATATGTGTACATTGTCAAGACTGGGGAAGGAAGGAGTATTATTTCACAAAATGTTGTGCCTATTATGACATTCGTGGCGTTTGTTATACCGTACTGTAATGCCAAATCAGGAATTGCGCCGAGCACCCCAAAATACCCCAGTGTGGGACAAATAAAGGATATCTAATCTAATCTAATAGATAGTTACTGTCGGCCACACATCCATATGATAGGATTTGAATTCATAACTTCAATTATGGAAAAGGGGTTTTGTCAGATTCACAAAGATTGACCCTATTGGAATTTGAAGACTCCAGCAACTACGGGAGTTCTTTTCAAGCCAGCCTCTGTATTTTTTTAATGACCGTGCCTAAGAGCAGGATAAAGCTCTTTTTGAACCTCCCCAGTCTAGTGTGTTGCTCAACAATGTTGAACACATTTTTTTTCTCCACTTTACGAAACTTTTACTGTAGTCAGCAACAAGACCCTTAACTATGACACAAAAGCATAACCGTATTACATCACTTTTTCCTCCCCTTTATTTGTGAAGTCCAGCCTGGACTTCAAAATCTTTTCACTTAATGAGGAGGGCTTGCGCCATCTTACATGTCAACCCTCATGATTGGATAAAAATATGCAAACACTTGCTGATTAGCAACCCAAGTTCATTGTTGCCAATCCCACATTAGGGTTAGGAGTCATTACTAAATAAATTGACTTTTTGACCCAGAGTAGCCCATGATTTAGTGATACAATATTCCAGACTCAGACAACGTCATCATTTTATCCCCAAGTTTAAAAATAATGTATATACAGTACTCTCAACATGGCTGTATTTGTAAATTGTGGCACCATTGCTCATCCTATGGCAAAAGACTTTCTTGTTGGATCAGCATGTTGGCAAAATACAAAATCAAACTCCACAATGGTGGTCTTCCTGGCAGGTGGGTCAATGGCAAAGGCCAATTAGAGGACAAGGCTGCCTAATGTTGTGGTCTCGAGATAATAGACACTTCAAACTACCACATTTTATGTAAATCCATAGAATTGTTGAGAAAATTGGGGTTACATCTGACTGATATTTTACACGTTTTAATGGATTAAAAAAAACACTAAAGTACAGGTATATGACTAGTGGAGGAATTTAAAGAAGGAATGGATATAAATGGGTATTATTGTGTATCTCAGTATAATCACTTTTATAAAAAGCATTTGTTTGGAGTAGCTGCAGACAAATGTCTCCAAAGCCAGTCCATAATGCATTCATAATGCCACGTTCACAGATCAACACCCTGCTGTCGTCAAATTGTTCACCCTATTGTCACAGAAGCCCTCAAACATGCCCACGGAGCCTCTGAAATTAAATTAATCTAACTTGACGAGATTAGCCCACAGCTTTTGCCTCATATCAGATGGCCGTGACACAAGCATTTGAATTAAACCTTCCCTTAAACAAAAGTGACAGCCTTAAATGAGTCAATTAGATACGACCAAAGATTTCAACACAGTTCTCCTTGCATCCTGTGAGAATGATCATTTTTCATCATGTATCCTTGCCATGAGAGTCACAAGACTGATTAATAAGATTGCAGGTGTTGCCCAAGTGAAAAGACAACGTGATTCGTTTGTTTCACAGGGTTCCACAATTTATTTGCATCAGTGTTCAGATCTCCAATTACACACAACAGTAACACAAATAGCATGGTACTTAAAAACAATAAGGGGCTACGAGTTTTTTTTTGGGGGGGGAGGGGGCACCAGCCAATCTACAGTAGTCTTTTGAAAGCAGAGAAATTCCGAACTGAAACGTCATCAAACCCGATATGTTCATTGTCTTTAGAAATGATCCCTAGTTCACAGTTTGATCAAACTTAGGACTGCATCTTGTTCCACAACTACCGGTACTTAAAACAACGGAGCTTTTTTTTTTTTCAAGGCCACTTTGAGCATTTCTGTTTCAGGATAGATCAAGCTTACCTGCACACAATCAGCTGCTGAAATACAATTGCTACAACGAGTAACAACCACAGGCGATAGTTACTGGTAATACATTCAGAAGGAGGTCAGATAACACCAGAGCAAATATTCAGATTGTGGAGGCAGGGGAAGAAGATAGCGTACACTGTTGTCAGCTGCCGATTACTGAATACTCCACTCCATCACATGAATAATGCACTAAGGGTTGCATGTGGAAATGTAGGAGTTTATCTTGAATCCAGGATCCATTGGGATGACGGTCTGGTGTTATTTATTTATTTATTTATTTACCGGTATTTGTATTTTTCTTTGCATACACAAATGGTGGATATAAGAATAAAAGAAGATATGCAGAAAATAAATCACTTAATTTGTGCTTTCAAATATTTGGTTTCTATCATTGTTCGTGTCACCCGGCAGAGAAAACAGTCAATTACATGAAGCTGTTTCTCTCCTTGATGTGGGCCACCTCTGTGTGTTTGCCTGTGAGCGCGTCCCTGTGTGTGATGCAGAATAAGATACCTTGTTCTGATAAAATAAATCATTTGCATTTGATCAAATGTGAATGCACAATTTTAATTAGGCAATGACAAGAGTATTAATGAGTTTGCCTTTACACACTAACTCGATGAGTTTCATGTAAAACAAGATTTACAGATTAATTTTTAAAAAAATCATTGGATTTATCATTTGATGGGGGAGTTAGCAATTCAAGAAAACACTTTTGTCATTTTGTATGACCTCACACTTGTACATGAGTCATATAATGGGGTGAGGCTTGGAGGGTTCACCCGGTATGAGTGAGCCCGCTAGTGCACGAGAATTGATTGAGATCTCGTCTGTTACGCCTTCTTGTCTCTGATTTGTTGTTTTTCTTCTGGCACCGTGGATTCCTGCATATCCAAGTTGGGGCCATCGAGGGATGGTCGTTTCACAGATCATTTTACTCAAATGCTCATGTCAGATCATGCTTACGACAGTTTTAACAAAATTGACAATTTTTTTTTTTGGGGGGGGGGGGGGAATTACAGCACTCCCTTTAAAGGTTTGTGTGGTTTTATGTAGAGTTCTGTCAAATGGCTCCATAGCGATATTCAGACAGCCAATAAAAGTTTGGAGTTGGTATCAGGTATGAATCATTCATTCATTTTCCGATTCGCTTTATCCTCACAAGGGTCGCGGGGGGTGCTGGAGTTGTCTTCGGGCAGCAGGCGGGGTACACCTTGAACTGGTTGCCAGCCAATCGCAGAGCACACAGAGACGAACAACCATCCACGCTCACGCTCACACCTAGGGACAATTCTAGAGTGTTCAATCAGCCTGCCATGCATGTTTTTGGAATGTGGGAGGAAACCGGAGTACCCGGAGAAAACCCACGCAGGCCTGGGGAGAACATGCAAACTCCACACAGGGAACCCGAGCGGGAACTGAACCCAAGACCTCTGCACTGTGAGGTTGACGCGCTAACAACTGGACCACCGGGCCACCCAGATATGAATCAGCATTTCACAATTATTTATTTTTATTGATCTTTTTTTTTTTTAATTACTGGATGTACAATCAATTATTTCCATAACAATTATTTTAAAAATCCTTGATGTGGAATCGCATTCTTTTGTTTCTTAGTGCAACTGAACAATGACCCTAAAACAAACAGGCAAGAAAATAACGACTTTTTGAAGGTTGGGGAATTAAACATTCTCCATATGTTTGGAAAAATCTCAAAATACAAGTGAAAGTCTTCTCTTTCAACACAACTTGACTGTCTGTGGTGAAGGTGTATAAAGGCATAATCATCATGCCATTGCCCGTATCATGCCAGACCTAACTGTGTGTATGCATCTTCTTTTTCTTCCTGACATTCATGTGTGTTTTGTATGTTGTACGACACGAGTTCGTATGTCACTCAGCAGCATTGTCTCACTGAAATGGTCGAAATGTTCACATTTCTTGGTTTCTAAGTGTTGAATGATATTTTGGGACAGAGAAACGAGTGCATCGCGTTGTTAAACTCAAGGCAAGCCTCCTTTTGGTTTCCACATCGACACAACATATGGCATCGTCAACAAAAGTACAATCCAACAGCAACGACTTGCATAAACATTTCAAACACTATAAAAGTCATTTCAAAGGAAAAGGAATTGTGTATCAGCACTAACATAGTGCATAAAGCATTTTCTTTTGTTTATTCTCAGAAAAAAAGGCTGTTTACACAATAAAGTTGTGACATTTCCTTTACAAATTTCCAACAAGAATGAGAAAAGTGTTCCATTTTCAGCCTCTGTATGTCATGAATTTTGGATCTGTCCATTTAGAGACAACCACAGCTCCATTTGGTCCTTGTGATTTTCAACACACAAACATACATGAGAATAAAACAACATTTTTAAAAAATGCTTTAGCTTTTGCAAGCTCTGATGATTTCAGGTTTGCGAGCTAGCCTGCATCGCCGTGTCCGTGTTGCGAGTTTGGCTTCTTGGCTCTTCTTTTGAGGAGCAATTTAGCATGGGAAAGTGTGTCGTTCAATAGCAAATGCTATTTGCGCGGCTCGACCGGAGTACCTTGATCCGTTCATACCACCTCGTGGCGTCTGTATACGTCGAGAGTCTGTCCGAGAGGCAGAGGAGAGCATCGGTGTGAAGAATACCAACGTGGTTACATGTC